TTTCTTTCTTTCTTTCTTTCTTTCTTTCTTTCTTTCTTTCTTTCTTTCTTTCTTTCTTTCTTTCTTTCTTTCTTTCTTTCTTTCTTTCTTTCTTTCTTTCTTTCTCTCTCTCTCTCTCAAGAAATTAATACTTTTATTAAGCAAGGATCCAATAAATTGATTAAAAGTGAAAGTAAAGACATTTTTAAAATATAAAATAAAAGTATAAAATGCTGTTCTGCTGTTCTTTGTATTTATCAAAGAATCCCGAAAAAATGTATCATAGTTTCCACAAAAATATTAAGCAACATAACTGTTTTTACCATTGAAAAAAATAAGAAATGTTTCTTGAGCACATTTCAAATCAGCATATTAGAATGATTTCTGAAGGATCATGTAAACTGAAGACTGGAGCAATGATGCTGAAAATTCAGCTTTACCATCACAAGAATAACCAACATTTTATAATATATTAAAATAGAAAACAGCTATTTTAAATAACAATAATAATTCACAATATTTTTTGTTTTTGTGTTTTTGATCAAATAAATGGAGCCTTAGTGAGCAAAAAAAAAAAAAAAAAAAAAAAAAAAAATAGAACTGCCCCAAGACTAAAACTTTAACTCAAATAAAAAAAATATATATATATAATATATCATTTGTCTCGACAGATGATATGGACAGAATCACCGTGGAAACAGGAATGTTGGACATTTCCTCTGCAACATGTGTGAAGTTGGTGCCTCGCACACATGAAGCAAACTTCCTTAATATCCAGTCTAGAACCGGGTGAGTCCTTTGCATTCATATACAGCCATATTCTATTAGTGTTCTCTTTAATGTTTAATATTTTACAAGACAATATAAAAAGTCTGATCATAATTATGGAAAACTCAGATACTGTATATTGAAAAAGTTTTTTATTGCATAACTTCAAACAAGGTTGACATTTCAAGATGAAATTGCAACATGGTCTCATTTTGTATATAAATCCTCATATAAATAGGACGTGTTCTATCACAATGATCTTAGACCAAAAATATTTGTTTCTGTAATTTTGATAGAAGTCTCAGCAAAAAAAAAAAAAAAAAAACATAAAAAAATAGTACTGACCCCAAACTTTGAACAGTATGCAATTTCATTTATTTTTTAAATTATTATTATTGTTGTCCACTGTCGACCCCATAGCTGCTGGTCATATCTGGGAATGATAGGAGGCAGTCAGACCGTGTCTTTGCAGTCTCCGGGCTGTATGTGGTCAGGAGTGGCAGCTCATGAGCTAATGCATGCTCTGGGATTTGTACACGAACAGTCTCGCTCTGATCGTGATCACCACGTCTCCATCCTGTGGGAAAACATCATAGAGAGTAAGCGTTTGAAACCAGCACTAATTTTTAGTCAATGCATTCAGTACGACAGTAATGCATGGTTCTTTTCCTAGATCAAAGGCACAACTTTAAGAAGTATGAGACAAACAACCTCAATACTGCATATGACTATAGTTCTGTCATGCACTATGGGAGGTGAGTATTGGCAATCTACTGTACAGTATGCATACTTCTGCTAAGCTATTAGTGGACAATCTGAAATGCATGTAGCCTATAGCTGTTTAAACAGTCCCTTAAACCCAAGAATTTCGTTTCTTATAAATGAAGCAATAAAAAACAATAGCAAATAATTTGAAGTTAAATGAATACTGATGCACACACACAGGTATGCCTTCTCAGAGGATGGTGGACCCACCATCATCCCTAAACCAGACCCGTACACTCCCATTGGCCAGCGAGACGGACCAAGTCTGACGGACATTCACAAAATAAACATATTGTATAACTGTGGTAGGTATTCATCTTACTAAAGTTTACTAAACTATGCTTCCTGTCTATTCATTTGAATATTTCTTTCGTGTGTCCACTAGGTGGCCGTGTGTGAAACAACAAACTTATGAAATGGACCCAACATAATTCACTGGACAAGAGACACCTGACATGTATTCATTCACCTTTCCTTCTCATTTTATGATGTGTTTGGCAGTGTGATGTATTTCGACACTATTTATATTACAGTACATAACAGATCATGTTAAATACAGCAAATTATTTTACAGGACAATATCATAAATTATTTTTGGGCAAATGAAACATAACAGAATCCAAAATAAAGCAAAGGAAAAATCTAGGTCAAAATACGTAATGCAGTCTTTGTGTTCATGTTGTTTTATATGAAATTGGTTTACCATTTTCAGCGAAAATGTAAATGTAATGAACATTTAAATGTGATATGTGACACGTAACCATGAAGCAAAATAAAATGCATAAGACATTTTTTCTTACACCTTGAATACATATGTGTGTGCACATTAATCATTAATTTAAAACAAAATTTTTTTAAATATATTTTTATGGTAAAATAGTTGTTTATTCATAGATTTGATAGGGTTTTGGGGAGTCATACCAAATAACATTTTCAACCTGAACTAATCTTGCCATATACAATGAAAAATTTGGTGTAGGGTTTACTTTGAAATAAATTTCACAAATAATTACCAAGAAATGGCAAGCGCTACACTGAACTGAATGTGAAAGTTTCAAGTGAAAAAACTAAAATTGTATTTTCTTGTAAAGCATACAAGTTACAACTTCGATAAGACATTTTTTTTACATTCATCATAACACGAGTATATTCAGGTCATTGTATGTACGAATTGCATTTTTTATGTATTTTTGAATAAATGAATAGATCCGTTCAAAATGAGTGTCTATTGTTATTTTAATCATACGTTGAACATGATAACAAAACAAAATTACAAACAAGTCATGCTTTTGTCTCAAGTCATAGCTGTGTTATTATGTATATAGTTGTGTTATTATTCTAAGTAATATCAGAATACAGAATTTAAAGCACATCATGAATGCAAACACACATCTGTAACTACCTTGGCCAGTGGTCAGATGATATTTACACAAGATCCATCACGTCTTTCTCAGTTTCTAGTGTACAGTCTTGCATTGGAAACTCATCCTACTGGACAGCCTTGACCTTCCCCTCCGCCGTCTCTTTCTGCGAATTCTTGCAGTCACCTTTTGCTTTTCACTGTCCAGGGTGAGTAAACTTCGCAGGAAGTTGAAGGAGAGGTAGAGAGACAGATATGTGAGAAAAAGATAACAAGACCAGAGAATCAACATGTCATCCAAAAACAGAAACCACTCAGTCAGATGAGATGTAGCATCAGAAATATAATGTAGTTGACAGAATATCACATTGACACAATTTTTAAATCTATTGTCTTCAGAAGGACAAAGCAGAGAGTGTCAAATTTCACTCAGTTCTGTTTTCAAACCACTTGAAAATACTCCTGTACAGATGAGAATCAAATTGAACTGACATCTCTGCATGTTGTTTAATTCAAGTCCTGTCTCTGTGCTAATCAGCTTACACTAGATTAGATTGTTCTAACCAGTGTCATGACACACCGATCTATTAAGATTCAATACTCTATATAGTTCATCCAACAAACAAACAACAGAAATGATAGATTAAAAAGAAAACAAAAAAATGTGCATCTCAATTAAATAATTTAAATAATTATTTAAAAAAATAATGATTGTATGTTATTATAAAATATAATTACATTATTTTATAATGTTATTCATCTGAGAACTAATGAGTTTCTGTATTGTTATTGTATAATCTTGATAGAATTGTTGTGTATAATCATCCATATCTAATATCAAAAACCAAACCTCTTGCTTAATAGCAGATCTTTTAGCTACTGATTATCCAGTTAGCAAATCTGAAGAGACTCGACTAGATGGTTTTTAGCATAATATCACGCCAAATGTTCAGCATACAGCAGTAAACAGATGGTAAACCTGTTTTTATACAGTCTATGTGGTAAACGCGTGTCTCCGCGTCGCGTGGTGGCGCTGTTCACAGCATGCGCGTTGACGCACGCGGCTGCTGATTCAAAACACTCGACTTTACGGTTTCAAAACCGGATGCTGCAGGAAGGTAGAAAAACAACATAAAAAACGCGCATATCCGAGGTTTTGCGTGTTTTTTTTTTAGACCGCAACACGGGAATGGACACAGTCAAGTAATCCGTGTTTTCAAAAGTAAGCTACTACTTTATTTTGCACTTTAACAGAGACTTAATAAAGCAAATAAAGCTCTCTGCTACACAGTGACTAAGAACTCTCCGTTACATACAGTATATGTTATATAAATATGTTGCGGATATCTGAATCAGTCATTGAAGCACTTACATAGTTTTAAGATTACACCTGAATGAAAGAACTAAAGCCTGAGGCACTCCAAGCTCCCAATGCTATCAATCATGTCATTTTACATCATACAGTCAGTAGAGTCCCATAACTGGTAATCTTAGTCTGCAATACCAGCCATTTAATGCTGGAAAGAGATACAGGTGATCTGCAATCTTCATAGTAGATGTTTGAGTTTCCACCATGCTTTAGTTCTTTATTTTTATCACTGATGAAATGAAAATGGACCATAATTACTTTCTTAAAATATGTCCCTGATCTTATTGTGAGCGATTTATCAGTGCATGCTATTCTAAATACAGAAAATACTTGTCCTGTCAATCTCTTATAAAAAAATAGTGACTATTGATTTCTAAAGAAATTCCTCTACCTCTAACCAATGACCACAGTAACTGTTTTTCACAATCAGATCGATTCCTGATGGGTCTTGTCCTACATTTTTTGTGTGTAATGTTTATTTTGTGTAAAATTGTTTAATCATGTTACCTTTAATCATTTAATCTAAATAATGTTTGTATTATTCACAGCTGATGGCTGGCTATGGAATCAGAACTGTTGATTGGCTGGCAGGAGGAGAGGGCGGAGCTGAGGGCGGAGTTATCACGTCTGCAGGATGAGTTGGCAGTGAGCAGAGCGGAGAGGGAGGAGCTTGAGTCTCGAGCTCAAGCTTTGACTGACAGGGTGAGGAAGGAGCCAGTGAGGTGTCTGGTCCATCAATAACAGAGTGAACACATGGCAAACTTATGATCTGTCTGTCTGTTTGTACCCATGCTGTTTAGCTGTCTCAGACGCTGGACCCTTCTCTGTCATTATCAGTGCGTCTGGACGATGAGCAGCGAGAATGGCGGAGGAAGCTCAGAGAGGGCAGAGAGAGAGAAGCCAGACAGGCTCTGCTCATTCATAAACTTCAGAACAAGGTCTGAACTCACAGCAACTTCATCGCAACTTTAATAATACTTCATGTACTGTAACTCCTTTAATTGTGATGGCGAAGGTCCCTGTGGGATTTAATCTTTCTGTATTCATGTCATGGATCTTAAATTGTTCTAGTTCTAGATCTAAAACATTTAAGGGGAATTCATACTTAGAGTGATTTGCAGTGACAGTGTGAATGGAAGTTCTTTATTTACAGTGAGTGTTAGTCATTGCATGACATGAACAACAGTAACTTTGTCCAGTGAAGCAACAAAGTTGAATGAAGTTGGTTCTCAACCTTTTTGACACCAGTGTCCACAACAATATTTGAAACCCCAGATTAAAATAAGCAACTAAACTAATTCAAGTTAATTTAATTACATTTTAGTATTCCAGAAGTTTGGGCTGAATAAAAATAATAACTTTCTTGATTATTAGTTGTTTTGGCTTATTTCAAAACTTGTTTTTTCTTATTTTAAATCATTTATGTCATGTTGATGCCCTGTGTTGGGGAAAGTTACTTTTAAAAGTAATGCATTACAATATTGCGTTACTCCATAAAAAAGTAACTAATTACGTTACTTGGTTACTTTTTATGGAAAGTAATGAGTTACGTTACTTTTGTGTTACTTTCGCATTACTTTTTAACATATTTAATTATTGCAGGTTTGAGTCATATTCTGAGTTTGCATTTCACTGTTTTAATTCATTTGATGAATACTAAATCTGTTTTTTTGTGAGTGGGATGAATTAATGCACATTCACATTTAGTCTAGAACTACATCATGTTCACACAGCGCACGCGACGCCTCTGTACTTCCGATTTCTCCCAATATGGGGACAGGAGACTTGTCAGTCAATAAATGGGAAAACAAAGTAACTGGCGTTACTTTTTTGAAAAAGTAACTCAGATATTTTCTTGTAAATTAAAAAGTAATGCGTTACTTTACTAGTTACTTGAAAAAAGTAATCTGATTACGTAACTCGCGTTATCCAACACTGTTGATGCCTCCTTTGAAGTTTTCTGAGGTGGGCCCTGGCCCCTTGGTTGAAAACCACTGCTTTTTGCTAATTAACAGTCATGTTATTGGGTGACTACCAGTAGAAGTGAAGACACTGGGAGCACGCATAGTCAAGGAAAGGCAAGATGACGGAGATGGTAATATTAGGGTTCCCACAGCTTCTGGAAACCTGGAAATATCGAAGAAATAAATAAGGTCTTAAAAGGTTATGCAAAACCCATTTAAATTTTCATAGTCAATATATCATATCCAGTAATGTCAGTTCTTAAGCTAGAAATACTATTTCTGAATATGATCTCTGTAAAATTATTTTTAAAAATTTGATTCAAGTTTCAACAAAAAACGGGAAAAGTCATGGAAAAATCTTGGAAATTTATTAGTCTGAAAGTGCTGCTCTATTTGATTTACCACTGCCCACATACAGGAATATAGTTGGAAACATGAAGCATGTTTTAATTGATAATCACTTGTCTTTCTTGTTCATGATATCATGCATTGCTGTACAACACTTTCCTCATGTTCTTTAACATCAACAAAACAGATTCCTTGTCAAACTGAACATTTTTTGTACATTTTTTATGGCCAGTTGTTAGGGCATTTAGAACAGCCTCTACAATCAGTCAGCAATAAAAACGCTGTTTATGTGAATGCCTCATTAACCTAGCCATTTAAGCCAATCATATTCCAGTTCATACAGACAGTCTCTCACTGGTATGTGCTCATGCATGTCAGGTGTTGGAGTACAGGGCTCGCTGTCAGACTCTGGAGCAGCAGACGATTAGTGAGGAGCGAGAGCTGAGGATCAGAGAGGTAAGACGAGCAACAGTCCTCAGTGTTTTCCTGGAGATCTGTGAGCGCCACATTAACGCTGTGCATTTCACAGAGGATGCTGCGGGATGAACGCAGTGACACACTGGAGAGCACCCTCATCAGGCTGGAGGAGGAACAGCAGAGGTGCGTGAGCAGTGTAAATACTATTATTATGTCTTCAGAGCTTGAATTCCTGTGACTGAGTTGTTTGTTCACCGGAGCAGATGTTTAGGGCTCTCAGAGGTCAGCACTATTCTGCGAAGTCAGCTCAGCCAATCAACAGAGGCTAATGAAGCCCTGCGGGACGACCTACGAAAGCTAACAGCCGATTGGTCCAAAGCGGTGGAGGAGGTGGTGCAGAAGGAAATCGATTGGCAAAAAGAGAAAGAGGTGAGGAATAAATATTATAAATAATAAAATAAATAATATAATTGTATATTTAATAGGAAAGGTCTAGAGGTCGACACACATACTGATTAAATATTGAATGTACTGGACACACTTCGTATTGGAAGAAGAAACAGTGATATGTGTAAATGTAAATCTATAAAAAGTTATCTTTTATTCTCTTTTAGTTGCTGCTTTTCAATAGGGACTGTAATAGAAACTCAGTTTATATGTAAGCTCCGCCTTCTCCCACTTGACTTTTGTGACATCTTATAAAAAAGAGGTTTTATGTTGCCACAGCAAAATCCATTTCTGGCATTATAAGTGTTGCCATAGAAACAGATAATTTCTGAAGATGTAAATGCAGCAAAATCTCTGTGTTGTCATCTCGTAATTACAGTAATTTCAAGGTGCAGCATTAAATGCAGTTGTCGGTTCTGAAATATGCAGCGTGTGCATGGCCTTACAACAGGTTCATGAGCTTTTGGTAGTTGCTTAGCAATGGCTCAGTTTTTCGGAGGATTTTATCAGAGCATTAGGGAACGTGCTGCAATATATTGTCACCATTATAGGCATGGGCCGATTATCGGTTTCAAGGTATACCGTGATTTGAAAATGTCACGGTTTCAAAACCGCTGAAATTTTTCGTTATGCGCTGTTTTTCATGTCTCCTCAAAGACTGAAAGTGTAGGAATCCCTCAGGTTGAGTGCAGTGTAGAGAGTAACACGACCCTCCTCCTGTTGGTGTGAGCGGTCAGTCACGTGTGTGTAGGATGGCCGAACTAAGGAGCTTCCCCTGGAACGTACGCGATCGGACACCGTCCGTTTTACGTGGTATTTTCTTTTAATCTCGTCTCTGTATAGTTCATATCAAAGCAGTGTTTCAGCGCAGTGCTGCTTTGTTTACAGCTGTAACCAAGGAAACGCAGTATGTGGTGTTCCAGAAGCGCCTCCTGCTGTCAGAGAGTGAATCTGCGTCTCATTCAGAGCTTGGCATGTAGTATAATTTCACAAAGCTAGTCAGAACATTCTGTTTTTGCTTCAAATTGGGTTATTATTAAATCAAATTATGCATATGAAATTATATAACTAAATGATATAAATGATATGTATATATCATTTATATCATTTTGTTATATAATTAGGAATAGGAAGATCAGGTCCTTCCTTTCAGAACATGCAACACAACTCCTTGTTCAAGCTCTTGTTCTGTCCAGGCTAGACTATTGCAATGCTCTCTTGGCAGGTCTTCCAGCCACTTCTATCATACCTCTACAATTAATCCAAAATGCCGCTGCAAGATTAATCTTTAATGAGCCGAAAAGAACACATGTCACACCTCTGTTCATCAATTTGCACTGGCTACCAATAGCTGCTCGCATAAAATTCAAGGCATTAATGTTTGCCTACAAAACCACCACTGGCTCTGCACCCATTTACCTAAATTCATTACTTCAGAGTTATGTGCCCTCTAGAAGCTTGCGTTCTGCAAGTGAACGGCGTATTATTGTGCCATTGTCGTGTCTTTTTCCGCTGCTCTGAGAAATCACTCTCAGTCTTGGGTTTTTGGTGCCAGAAGAAACACACTTTATTTCAACAATGAGAATAAAGCGGAGATGCTCTCTGCAGCGAAACATCTCCAGAATGATCATCTTGTCTTCTTTTTATACAGTTCTGACTTTAATGCGTGGGGTATATATTCCATACAGTTTTCCATACTCATTTAAAAATAACACATTTTAGAGCTGTAACGACAATACCGTGAAACCGTGATATTTTTGCTTAAGGTTATCATACCGTCAAAATCTCATACCGGCCCATGCCTAGTCACCAAGCAACTGCACAGTGACACACAAAGTTGAGTGTGTGTCTTCCATTAGTGGATGTGAGCGAAAAGACATTACAGAAGTGAGTTTTATTCAGTACTTTAACTAAAACATCAAAGATTGCGACCATATTTCACATTACATTTTAAGGCACAAATGTTTTAAAATGCACTTTATTTGACACTCAATGGTGTTATCATGCAGTAAAGATGGCATCATTCAGACGTCCGTGATATCCACATTCAGCATTTTCTCACAACTCTGCAGTTGTAAACATTATCATCGGCACAATGATTTCTCTTGCTCAGGCTGAATGTACAGAGAAAGGCTCTGCAAATGTAGCAGGGAGATGTTGCTGCACTTGCTGCTTCAGGTTTTCTCATTCTTCGACTGACAGACACAGATGGAGTATTTGTGGCGTACACTGACTGTGCTACCACATGTTTATGACAAACTATACACTTCAGATGATCCACAATGCAAAAACAGCATGTAACTGGTTTCATTGATGCAATATAAGCAATATTTGACTTATTTTTTAATTCAGTTTTGTTAAATTCGTTGTATCTTTATTTTGAATACAGGCTTTAACAGGCTACATAGGGAAGGAGCAGACCAGGTTGATGACTTTGTGGGGACGTGTAGTCACTCTCAAACGCCAGTGTCACTCTCTGAAGACGGCTACTGACAAGTGAGGACACAACATTAAAAACTCATTTATGCTTTCAAAAGCAAAAATATGGACATCTTAGCATCAGGCTAGTTGAAAATACACTACCGATCAAAGGATTGGGGTCAATAAGATTAATGTTTTTGAGAGAAGGTCGAAAAAACATTGAAAGCAGTAATATTGTAAATATTATTGCAATTTAAAATAACTCTTTTTGATTCAAATATATTTTAAAATGTAATTTATTCCTGTGACGGCTGAGTGGAATTTTCAGTCACATGATTAATAAAGCGTTCTAATATGCTGATTTGCTGCTGAAGAAACATTTCTTATTATGTTCACAGTTTAAAAACTTAAAAACAAACGTAATATTTTTTTTATATTTAATGCTTAATATGATTAATATTAACTGATTAATGTCTTTGCTGTCACTTTTGATCAATTTAAAGTGTCCTTGTTGAATAAAAGTCTTTTTTTCAGTCACACTTTATTTTAAGGTCCGATTCTCGCTATTAACAAACCATTAATTACGACTTTTGTTTCAATAAACTCCTAATTTGCTGCTCATTAATAGTTAGTACGGTAGTTGTTAAGTTTAGGTATTGGATAGGATTAGTGATGTAGAATATGGTCATGCAGAATATGTGCTTTATAAGCACTAATAAACAGCCAATATTTTAATAATAGACATGCTAATAAGCAACTAGGGTTATTTAATAGTGAGAATTGGTCCCTATACTAAAGTGTTACCTTTTTTCTAAAAAAAAAACCTGACCCCAACAATAGTGTATGTATTCTCTATACCTTCTGTTAAGTGTGCATGTGTTGTGTTTTTGTGCTACAGAGACCTGTGGGAGCTGAGAGCTGAGTTCTCTCGTCTCTCCTCATCTCTCCTCTCTTCTCCTCGACCAGTTCCCATGATGCCCCATGACTCCTCTGTAGGCCACTCCACTACAGCGCAACTGCTCTCCTCCTCCCAGGGGCCGCTGTCTCTTGACGATCTCAGTCATGAACAAACTGGCGAGAGGAAGTCGACTGAATTAAAAGCTGACATTGAGTCAGAGACCCTGGAACTCAGGAACAGGTCATTACAGAAATCATGCAACATTAATTCCACTGCATTATTTCAAGTATTCACAATATATTTGCAGTGGTTTTGCTGGTGATTAAATTGATTTAGAATTCTGATTCATTGTTTTGTTTACACATTTACACATCATTCAAAAAATATTTACATATAGTTTTGTGTTAATTACAGTGTTTCAGTATACTGATGTTATACTTTGATTTTTTCAGAATCACAGAGCTGAATATGACAATACAAACTCTTGAATCTGAACGGGAGAAGCAGGAGGCAGAGATGGAGAGGAGACACAGGCAGGAGATGGAGAGAGAAAAAGATCAAGAAAGGAAGTGGGAGAGACAGATAGAAATGGAGAGAAACTTCGAGTCTGTCAGACATGCTGTCACGACACTGGTGAGTGTCAATAAATTGTCCTTATTTTAGTGAAGCATGAATGAATTAATGTGTTCTCTGTCTTTTTGTCCAGTCAAGAGTTCTCAGCTCTCAGCAGATTAGCGGACAGTCGAGCTCTCTGTCTTCAGACGATGTGTCCAGTGAAGGATTGTCCTCTGTCCTCTCTGTCATCGCTCAAGCGGAGACTGCCCTGCAGTTGAGACAACAAGAAGTACAGGTTGGTCAGTGTGAAATCAGAATTGGCCCTGTTTGCTTTCTTAATACATTTTCCTGGTCTTATTGTGAACAATTCATCAGTGCATGGTTTTCCAAACAAAAAGAATGGCTTTATCATCTTTTATCTAAATAAAATAATGTTGTTTAAAATGACTTTCCTTTTTGGCTGATGTAACCTCTTAGTAAGCCAAATCTTTTTGTCAGGATGCTCAGATGAGCCTGCGTAGACTTGGAACAGAGAAAGAATCACTGGAGCAGAGAATCGTGCAGTTGGAGAGTGAGAGAGCAGAGTTTCAGGAACAGACAGATCAGGGAGCACTGCAGATAAAACACACACAAGAACTACTGAACAGGTGAAGAATGCTTGATTATCTCATTATACAAATTCATACAAATACACTTTTATCTTTTAATATTCCTGAAGGCTACCTTTAGCAGTTAATCTAAGTGATTAACTGTATTTTAAAAAGTGTTGTAATATAGCATCTTAGGTTATTTACAAAATATTTGAACCATAATGGTTATCAGCTAACGTGTATTTTTTAATTTATTTAGTGGTACTGATCGCTATTGGATATTTCATTTTAGTTTATCTCCTTTCTTTATCATTACATTTACATTTGAATCTAACTCTCTCACAATTTCAGCAAAACCTAGCCACTTATATACACTGCTGCTCAAAAGTTTGGGGTTGGTATGGTAAAAACAGTCATAATGTGAAATATTACTACAATATTTCATACTGATTTGCTCAAACATTTCTTATTATCAATGCTGAAAACAGTTGTGCAGCTTAATATTTTAGTAGAAACTGATACTTTTTTTAGGATTCTTTGATGAATAGAAAGTTCAAAAGAACGCCATTTATTTGACATAGAAATATTTTGTAATATTATAAATGTTTTTACTCTCACTTTTGATCAATTCAGTGCGTCATTGTTGAATAAAAGTATTAATTTCTAAAAAAAAATCTTACTGACCCCAAAACTATTGATGGTAGCGTAACCTTGATGACATACAGTCACTAAAGGGGTCCTATTATGCTTTTTCACTTTTTCAACTTTAGTTAGTCTGTAATGTTGCTGTTTGAGCACTAAAAAGATCTGCAAAGTTACAAAGCTCAAAGTCCACACCTTGCTAGAACAGGAGTGGACTCTTTTTGACTCCAGCTGCCTTAATTCTTCATGGCATAGATCCAACAAGGTGCTGTTTTGGTCCATATTGCCATGATTTCATCACACAGTCGGCTGCACATACATGATGTGAATCTCCCGTTCCACCACATCCCAATGGTGCTCTTTTGGATTGAGATCTGGTGACTTTGGAGGCCATTTGAATATAGTGAACTCATTGTCATGTTCAATAAACCAATTTGAGATTTTTTTTTATCTTTGTGACATGGCACGTTATCATACTGGAAGTAGCCATCACAAGATGGGTACACTGTGGTCATAAAGGGTTAGACACGGTCAGCAAAAATATTCAGGTAGGCTGTGGCGCGTAAACGATGCTCATTTGGTACTAAGGGGCCCAAAGTATGGCAAAAAAATATCCCCCACACCATTACACCACGAGCAGCCTGAACCGTTGATCGAAGACAGGATGGAACCACGCTTTCATGTTTTTTATGCCAAATTCTGACCCTACCATCTGAATATGGCAGCAGAAATCAAGACTCATCAGAGAAGGCAACCTTTTTCCAATCTACTATTGTCCAATTTTAGAGCCCGTTGGAATTGTAGCCTCAGTTTCTTCTTCTTAGCTGACAGGAGTGGCGCCTGGTGTGGTCTCCTGCTACTGTAGCACATCTGCTTCAAGGTTGAACGTGTTGTGCGTTCAGAGATACTCTTCTGCATACCTCGTTTGTAACAAGTGGTTATTTGAGGTCTATCTGCTCGAACACTCTGGCCATTCTCCTCTGACCTCTGGCATCAACAAGGCATTTTTGTCGACAAAATATTGGATATTGGATATTTTCTCTTTTTCGGGCCATTCTCTGTAAACACTAGAGATGGTTGTGCATGAAAATATCAGTAGATTAGCAGTTTCTGAGATACTCAGACCAGTCCGTCTGGCACCAACAACCATGCCACATTCAAAGTCACTATGTTCGGACTGCCAGCAAAAATTTTTTTTTTTTTTTTTGCATGTCCAGATTTTTGAAAAAGCTGGAAAAATCTGATTCAAACCACATTTGGAGTTGGTTCATATAGTATTTGAACGAAGCTGAAGCCAGCTCTAACTATAGCATGGAACATCACAATATATACCAGTTCTGCACTGCAACTTGACAGTGCGCTTATTTGAAGAGTGAAAAGATTATTTTTCCTGCATCTGTTTTGAAAGCCTCATCACATATGTGTGTGTTACCAAAGCAATCCATGCAGATAGGTTGGTTATGTCTGGACACAAAAATCTGATTTGATCACTTGCAATTAATAGTGTGGACAGTCTGCCAGACCAGTCCGTCTGGCACCAACAACCATGCCACATTCAAAGTCACTATGTTCGGACTGCCAGCAAAAATTTTTTTTTTTTTTTTTTCATGTCCAGATTTTTGAAAAAGCTGGAAAAATCTGATTCAAACCACATTTGGAGTTGGTTCATATAGTATTTGAACGAAGCTGAAGCCAGCTCTAACTATAGCATGGAACATCACAATATATACCAGTTCTGCACTGCAACTTGACAGTGCGCTTATTTGAAGAGTGAAAAGATTATTTTTCCTGCATCTGTTTTGAAAGCCTCATCACATATGTGTGTGTTACCAAAGCAATCCATGCAGATAGGTTGGTTATGTCTGGACACAAAAATCTGATTTGATCACTTGCAATTAATAGTGTGGACAGTCTGCCTGAAAATATCTGATTTGAGGAAAAAATCTGATTTGCCTGCAGTCTTAAATCACCTTTCTTCCCCATTCTGATGCTTTGTTTGAACTTCAGCAGATCGTCTTGACCATGTCTACATGGCTGGTGAGTGTATACCATATACATAAGCAAAACAGCTGTGTCAATTTGCCCAAAACTCTCACACACTGGCCCTGGGACATCAGACAATTCTGCCTGTTAAAATGAACCGATGGAGTTTTGTCCGAGTTGTGTAGTTTCCCATTCTGTATTTTGTCACCCATCCAAACCTCTCAATCATTCCTTTATGTTGTCCTCCATTTTCCCTCTCTCCTCCCTTCCAGGCACGGGAGTCATTACTGGCCCTGTCCTCCAGTCAAACCCAGCTCAAGAGGGAGCTGGCAGAAGGTCGAGATGCCCTGGAGAAGATGGCTACTTTAAATGAAGCTCTGGCCAAGGACAAGAGAGAACTCAGTGTTCGTGCTCTGCAGGTCTGGCACGCAGGTTTAGCCCATCTTTAGCATAGATCACTTACACTGCCTAGGGCCGTGACCAAATCCCTGCAAGCTGTCACAGGCCTCTTGCCTTTAATTACTTGATCCAGCGCCAGATTGAGTTGCTGGTAGGGCCAGGTTTGGGATGGAGGGATGAGAGGTGTGATTTTTGTTTTCCTGACCCCTCAGCTGGAGACGGAGGTGGCAGAAGCCCAGGCCCAGATCCAGGCATGTGGAGCAGAGATGGCAGGTCTGCGCAGAGAAGTGAAGACCTCGTCTCTAGAGGCCAACGAATTAAGGTGCGGCATTGTGAAACAGAGGGACAAATTTAGATGAAAAGGCTGTAGATATATTATGAAGTGCGGAGTATGTTGGCTTGGAAGCTTCATTATTATAATGATGGAAATGCAAAATTAAAAAGAATGTATTTAATATATTATAACACTGCTAAACTAAGAATATCCTGATATAAATATTGTTTATATTGCCTACCCTTTACCTCCTTGTTATGCGCAAGGCAGAGTAAAATATGTTTGTGTAATAGGCATAGGCAGTTTAAAATCTGTAGATGAAGTGTGTCTGTGACTCTAAATGGCAGCTAATCAAGTCCCTAATGAGCTGGTATGAGTTTGGTAGGAATACTAATGAATACATGGGGCTTTAGATGACACTATAAATGTCTGAGTTTATCTCAACAGCTGTTATATTTGGCTGTAGTATGCTGGCCCTGTGTTTTCACAGCCAGTGATTCTTCACTTCAATTGTGTTGATGATCCCACTGCGTTCCAGGGAACGAAGAGAGACGGATCTGAAAACTCTGCAGCAGCTCCGAGACCGGGAGAGAGAGCTGGAGAATGAGCTGGAGACTGAGAGGGAGGACAGAGAGAGGGAGGTGACTGCTCTCACAGAAGAGAAGAATAATAATGAACTAAGGATTGCAGAGGTGAGAAACTCAATACTGACTGCTTGCAAACTAGATTCAGCACACAAAAGAGTACATTTTTGAAAAGTAAACATTGTGTTCTAACTAGGTGCAAGTTGACAAGTTTCCAAGTAATTCTCTCTCTTTGTATATGTGTGTGTGTGTATTAATCAAATCAACATATTTTACTTAATATAATAAAATAATAAAAAATAATTTCTTTTTAAGTAAAACAATACAAATAATGAAATATTTCATAAAAACACACAACATAAAGACTTGAGAAGACGGAGGAAAACAGCTGTATACTTACATCCACAATAATATCAGAACGTATTGGTCAAGTATAGTACACACATATAATAAAGTCTCGTAACAGCATGTACAGTAATTACAAAAACGCAGATTTGCATTAACAAGGAGTGTACAACACTGCAACAGTCAAGCAACAAAATGACCAAAAAGCTGACGGTACGGAGGAAATACAACTATTTAAACAGATGCGGTGAAAGGTGATTGGCAGCATGTACCAGAGCGTTATCTTCCATGATGAAGAATGACAAGCTGTTTGTCCAGTAGGATCTGTAACACAAAACAGACCAACCCACACAAACACATATATATAAACATTCCATAACAAAGACTATTGATTGAGTCCTGATCACCTTAGGTTTTTGATAATGATGGGATTTAGTGTATATTATTCCGTACACGTATTTTCCTGTTTTCGAATACTTCATGTTTTGGGTCTACTCATGGACAGTGATGATGTGCTTATGTTTCAGTTAACTGAGCAGTGCAGCACGATGATGAAGGAGTTGCAGAGTGTCCAGGCAGAACTGCTCAAAGCAGCAGAGCAGCAGAGAAGAGCTGAACGAGAGAGAGACGACCTAATCAGAGAGAGCCAGAGACTAGAGGACACAGTGTGTTCACTGGAGAGAGAGAAGGAGGAACTCGCACAGGTCAAAGAGGAACTCAGGTATAATGAAACGGAGTCTGTATTTCCCATAAAACAACATACTAACAAGCTCAGTATTCTTTCATACTAGTCTTTTCAAGCTTTATGAGGACATTTTTTGTTAAACATATTTAAACCTATTTTTGTCATCAAAGCGTCATCCTTTTTGTCAAGTTGCTAGGTTGTTACCTTTAAAACCAACATCAACTATTTTATGTTAGATCTGTATAACTAGATCAGAATCAATTGTTTGAACCATATTTGTACCAATCCCCTATTAGTTTCTAACCTGCTGCTGTCTCTCTTCAGAGGTGTGGTAGCATGCCTCCAAAAGCAGATTGCTCAGGTTCAGGAACAGGCCTCAGGTCTGGAGATGCAGTGCAGTAATCTGCAAACACAGGTGGAAACGCTGACACAGACCAAAGATGTCTTGCAAGGTTGGACTGTTTTATTATAATAAACTTCTCATTGACTATTCACTTTACTGGCTTAATATGTTAGTGTATTTGTATGTGTAATAAAAATGTAACATTTTTCTCTCTAAATTGTGTAGGAGAGATTCAGTGTCTACAGACAGACTTGGAGAGAGAGACAGCACAAAGAGAACGGGAAAGAAAAGAATCAACGGAGGAAAGAAGGAAGAGTAAAAGAGAGATAGAAAACTGGCAGTCGGAATGCAAGAGGATTCAGAGAGATGTTGAACAAGAATCACAGAAAAACAAAGTACAAGCAGAAGAGAGCAAAATAGAGAGAGAAAGATGGCAAAAAGAGAGAGAAGCTCTGAATGCAGAACTCGGCCAGAAAGATGGAGAAGTGGAGATACTGAGGAACAAGATTGATGGTTTGTTAAAAGAAAAAGAAGAGCTTTCAGGCATCTTAGACAAAAGAAACACAGAACTTGAGAAACTACAAACGAAATCAGCAGCAGAGCAGAAAACAGCCGAACTAAGACTGAGAGAAGCGTGTGATGAGATTGAGAGATGGAAGGAGAGAGAAAATGAGGTTCAGAGAGAGAAAGAAGAGTTAAATCAGAAGTTTATAGAAAGTGTGGAAAGAGAAAGTCAAAACCTCAAGATCACAGAGAGAGAGAAGTCAAAGATGTCTGATCTGCTGAAAAAGAAGGAGGATGAAATACGAAAGAGAGGAGAGGATATCGATGAGTTAAAATCGAAAGTCCAATCACATGAGAGAACAATTGAGAGTCTGGAAATAGAGTTACAAGAGAAAGAGACCTTGGAGAGTAGATTAGAAGCCCTGGAGAAACACAACACTCAACTGAAAGAGAGAGAGATGGAGAAAATAAGAGAAAATGAAACCAAACAAAACAAAAGAGAAGAGCAAGAGCGGGAGAAAGATATGCGGTGGAGAAGACAGTTAGAACAGAAAGATGGAGACTTGATAGAGCTCAAAAGCAGAATTGATGAACTGATGAGAGAGAAAGAACATATCTCATTACTCGTGGAAGAAAGAGATAAAGATGTTGAACAATTACAAACTATGTTGTCCACAGAAAAGAGAACTCTTGAACTGCGACTGAAAGAGGTGAAAGACAATGTGGAGTGGTGGAAGAGACGAGCTGACAACATAGAAAAAGTGAAGGAGAGCGTAAACCGGGTTGCTGAAAGAGAGAGGACAGAACTAAGAGAGCTTCTTAGAGAAAGCGAGGAAGAGATACAAAAGAGAGAAGAGGACATTGGTGATCTCAAAGGTAGAATTCAGTCATTAGAGGTAATCATAGAGAAACTAGAGGCTGATGTTGAGCAGAAGGACGAACAACTTAAACTTCTAAAGGAGCAAAACTCAAAGATGAAAGAGAAGGAGATGGAGAAACAAAAAGAGGTGGACAGAAAGCAACTGGAGCTTAAGGAACAGGAGAAACAACTGAATAGAGAATTAGAAGATCTCAATACCAAAATGGAGGCAGTCATTCGAGAAAAAGAGGAGACACTAGAAAGGGTGGATGAGAGAGATAGTGAGCTAAAAGAATTGCTCACACAAGAACAGAAGATGTCTGAACAGAAGCTCAAAGCAGAGCACGAAGAGGTAAACAGGTGCAAAGCCAAGTTAGCCGAAATGGAACGTGACCGGATGAACTCAGAAGAAGAGAGAAGGAAAAGACAGGAGATTGAGGAAAGAGATAGGGAGCAGATACTGAGAGGAGAGCTCCTTCAGAAGGAGACAGAGTTGAGGCAGTTGAGACTGAAGATTGATGAACTGAACCAGGAGAATGAGGAGGGCAGGAAGATGAGAATGGAGCAACAAGAAGACCTTGAATGCCAAACTGGCCTCCTACGAGATGCTGAGGTGGAGGCACAGGCACTGAAGAAGAGTTTACAACAAAAAGAAAAAGAGGGCTGAGAGAAAAGCTGCATGAAGCCGAGCAGAGGAATCTTGAAGTTTCAAGCAGTCTACGAGAGTCTGAAACGGCACTGGAGAAGGAAAAACATCAACAGCGAGAGAAAGAGGAGACACTTATGGACTGTAATCAGGAGCTACTATTAGTCAGGCGTGAGCGAGATCAAGAGAGGGAGACTGTTGAAAATCTGAAGAAACTTATAGGCGAACAGGGCAAAGAGGTGAAGTCGCTGAAAGAAAAACTGGATGAACGGTTAGGAGAGTGGGAATTTTGTCACAACTGCTGCAGGAGAGCCGAGGGGAAGCACAAGTGCTTGAATCCAGGGTAGAGAACAGTGAAGAGGAGAAACAAAGATTGAAGAGGTCTTTGAGTCAGACTGAAGATGAGAGGAGGCGTCTGGAGACCCAACTGAGAGATGAAAAAACAGAAGGGGAAAGGCTGAGAGCCAGGCTTGAAGATCTGCAAAAAGGTCAGCATTTCCTGATGGAGGAGAAGACGGGACGCATGGAAAAGCTTGGGGCCCGAGTACAAGAGCTGGAGGAGGAGAGAGACCATCTCTCAGCAGAGCTTCGCAGGAAAGAGCGAGAGATTGAGGCTCTGAGAGATGAAACGCTTCGAGAGAGGCGAGAGAACCATATTTGTACCAATCCCCTATTAGTTTCTAACCTGCTGCTGTCTCTCTTCAGAGGTGTGGTAGCATGCCTCCAAAAGCAGATTGCTCAGGTTCAGGAACAGGCCTCAGGTCTGGAGATGCAGTGCAGTAATCTGCAAACACAGGTGGAAACGCTGACACAGACCAAAGATGTCTTGCAAGGTTGGACTGTTTTATTATAATAAACTTCTCATTGACTATTCACTTTACTGGCTTAATATGTTAGTGTATTTGTATGTGTAATAAAAATGTAAAATTTTTCTCTCTAAATTGTGTAGGAGAGATTCAGTGTCTACAGACAGACTTGGAGAGAGAGACAGCACAAAGAGAACGGGAAAGAAAAGAATCAACGGAGGAAAGAAGGAAGAGTAAAAGAGAGATAGAAAACTGGCAGTCGGAATGCAAGAGGATTCAGAGAGATGTTGAACAAGAATCACAGAAAAACAAAGTACAAGCAGAAGAGAGCAAAATAGAGAGAGAAAGATGGCAAAAAGAGAGAGAAGCTCTGAATGCAGAACTCGGCCAGAAAGATGGAGAAGTGGAGATACTGAGGAACAAGATTGATGGTTTGTTAAAAGAAAAAGAAGAGCTTTCAGGCATCTTAGACAAAAGAAACACAGAACTTGAGAAACTACAAACGAAATCAGCAGCAGAGCAGAAAACAGCCGAACTAAGACTGAGAGAAGCGTGTGATGAGATTGAGAGATGGAAGGAGAGAGAAAATGAGGTTCAGAGAGAGAAAGAAGAGTTAAATCAGAAGTTTATAGAAAGTGTGGAAAGAGAAAGTCAAAACCTCAAGATCACAGAGAGAGAGAAGTCAAAGATGTCTGATCTGCTGAAAAAGAAGGAGGATGAAATACGAAAGAGAGGAGAGGATATCGATGAGTTAAAATCGAAAGTCCAATCACATGAGAGAACAATTGAGAGTCTGGAAATAGAGTTACAAGAGAAAGAGACCTTGGAGAGTAGATTAGAAGCCCTGGAGAAACACAACACTCAACTGAAAGAGAGAGAGATGGAGAAAATAAGAGAAAATGAAACCAAACAAAACAAAAGAGAAGAGCAAGAGCGGGAGAAAGATATGCGGTGGAGAAGACAGTTAGAACAGAAAGATGGAGACTTGATAGAGCTCAAAAGCAGAATTGATGAACTGATGAGAGAGAAAGAACATATCTCATTACTCGTGGAAGAAAGAGATAAAGATGTTGAACAATTACAAACTATGTTGTCCACAGAAAAGAGAACTCTTGAACTGCGACTGAAAGAGGTGAAAGACAATGTGGAGTGGTGGAAGAGACGAGCTGACAACATAGAAAAAGTGAAGGAGAGCGTAAACCGGGTTGCTGAAAGAGAGAGGACAGAACTAAGAGAGCTTCTTAGAGAAAGCGAGGAAGAGATACAAAAGAGAGAAGAGGACATTGGTGATCTCAAAGGTAGAATTCAGTCATTAGAGGTAATCATAGAGAAACTAGAGGCTGATGTTGAGCAGAAGGACGAACAACTTAAACTTCTAAAGGAGCAAAACTCAAAGATGAAAGAGAAGGAGATGGAGAAACAAAAAGAGGTGGACAGAAAGCAACTGGAGCTTAAGGAACAGGAGAAACAACTGAATAGAGAATTAGAAGATCTCAATACCAAAATGGAGGCAGTCATTCGAGAAAAAGAGGAGACACTAGAAAGGGTGGATGAGAGAGATAGTGAGCTAAAAGAATTACAAGCAAAACTTACACAAGAACAGAAGATGTTTGAACAGAAGCTCAAAACAGAACACGGAGAGGTGAACAGGTGCAAAGCCAAGTTAATTGAGATGGAACGAGACTGGATGAACTCAGAAGAAAGGGAAGAAGAGAGAAGGAAAAGACAGGAGATTGAGGAAAGAGATAGGGAGCAGATACTGAGAGGAGAGCTCCTTCAGAAGGAGACAGAGTTGAGGCAGTTGAGACTGAAGATTGATGAACTGAACCAGGAGAATGAGGAGGGCAGAAAGATAAGATTGGAGCAACAAGAAGACCTTGAACGCCAAACTGGCCTCCTTCAAGACACAGAGGAGGAGGCACAGGCACTGAAGAAGAGTTTACAACAAAAAGAAAAAGAGGAAAGGGATAGAGTCCACCGTGAGGAAGAAGCAATGAAAAGGCTGAGAGAAAAGCTGCACGAAGCCGAGCAGAGGAATCTTGATGTTTCAAGCAGTCTACGGGAGACTGAAACTGCACTGGAGAAGGAAAAGCGTCAACATCGAGAGAAAGAGGAGACACTTATGGACTGTAATCAAGAGCTACTATTGGTCAGGCGTGAGCGAGATCAAGAGAGGGAGACTGTTGAAGATATGAAGAAACTTATAGGCGAACAGGGCAAAGAGGTGAAGTCGCTGAAGGGAAAACTGGATGAACGGTTAGGAGAGTTGGGAAGGTTGTCACAACTGCTGCAGGAGAGCCGAGGGGAAGCACAAGTGCTTGAATCCAGGGTAGAGAACAGTGAAGAGGAGAAACAAAGATTGAAGAGGTCTTTGAGTCAGACTGAAGATGAGAGGAGGCGTCTGGAGACCCAACTGAGAGATGAAAAGACGGTAGGGGAAAGGCTGAGAGCCAGGCTTGAGGATCTGCAAAAAGGTCAGCATTTCCTGATGGAGGAGAAGACGGGACGCATGGAAAAGCTTGGGGCCCGAGTACAAGAGCTGGAGGAGGAGAGAGACCATCTCTCAGCAGAGCTTCGCAGGAAAGAGCGAGAGATTGAGGCTCTGAGAGATGAAACGCTTCGAGAGAGGCGAGACAAGGACAGGATAAGCTCTTTGCTGAATGATGCAAAAGAAAGGAAAGAAGCACTAGCTGCCCAGGTGGATACTTTACAAGAACAGTTGGTTAATCTTTCAAGAACCAAAGAAGAAACCAGGTCAAAAATCCAGGAACGAGAAGAGCAGAACCAGAAGATGCGAGAGGGCCTGATTGCAGGCCTTCAGGAGATGGCGACTCTGAAGGAACTGCTAGAAGAGAGTCATCGTGAGGGAGAGAGACTCCGGTCCATGATGCAGGAAAAGAAGGATGAGTTGGTCCGAAGCAGAGAGGAAGGTGTTAGGGCAGCACAGATTGAAGCCAAAGATCTTCTACTCAAAGTCCAGATGTTAGAGAAGCAAAAACAGGAGCTTAAGTCTGCCCTTCACCTCCAAGAGGAACATCTTAGGAAGAAAAACGAGGAAGGTTTGCGAGAGAAGGAACAAATGCAGCTACGACATGAGAAGCTAGAAGAAGAATTGGCGACCATGAAGAGCGTAGCAGAGCAGAGAGAGGCTGAGCTGACCAGAGCGAAGGCTAGAATGGACATCCTGGAAGATCAGAGGACTGAACTCAGCTCTTTGGCAGCAGAAAGGACCAGAGAAGCAGAGGAACTGAGCAACAGATTCAGAGAGCTGAGACAGGAAGTGGACAGACTGAGAGAGGACAGAAGAAGAGAGAGTAAAGACTGGGAGGAACTCAAACGAGAAAATAAAGAGAAACAAGGTGTGTTAGAGGGATTGGAGCTCCTCAGAAAAACAATGAGTGAAAAGGAAAAGGAGATAGAATCGATGAAAGAGAAATATGAAAATGAGAAAAGAAAAAGTGAGAAATTTCAGCAAGCGGAGGATCAAAACATAAGACAACTAGAATTATTGTCAGAGAGACTCAAGGACAAAGAAACTGAGCTGGAGAGTATACGAGAAATGGCGTATAAAGAACAGTCAGCAAAACTTAGATTGCAAGATGAATTTGAAGATGAGAAAAGAAATACCAAGATATTGAGGGAAGAAATAGAAACCTTAGAGAAAGAGAAACAAGAGCTTGAGACCAAAATGGAAGAGGATTTACGTAATCTTAGAGAATCTGAAAAGAAAAACAATGGAATGAAGATGGATAGTGGCCATGGTACTCTATCAGACTTCCTAAAAATCAATGCTGAATATCAGTCTCATGACAAGTTGTTAGAGACAGACACACTTAGAAAGGACCTTACAAAAAAGGAACAGGAAATCGAGAGGTTGAAGACCAAGGCTCAGACCCTACAGACTGAGATCAACAGACTGCAATCCACAATAAGAAATGAGAACATAAAAACTGGACCACCAGACACTGGGGACTGGGGAAGGCTAAAGGAACAAATGTCCACTGTCCTTTTAGAAAAGGAGGAGAGGGACAGACTCCTCAGAGAGAAGGACGTTGAGGTATATGCTCTGAAAGAGCGAATTGAAGAGCTGAGTAAAGACAGGGACCGTGTCAGGACGGCTCTAGAGAAAACTGAATCCACGTTGATTTACTATAAGGAGAGGCTGGAACAGCAGGAGCATAAGAGAAAGCGGGCAGGAGCTGATACATCACAGGTCAGTAAGGCAGAGACATCTTTAATTTAAAATACCAAGCATAAAATGTGTCGTTATGGTCACAGATAAAAGTAAAATTTTTTTTTTATTCTTTATTTATTAAACATTTTTGATTTAGAACTTTTTACAGCAGAGCCCGAGATCTGCCCATATACATAATATATGACCATAAAAAAAACCAAAACAAGCGGGTTACAAAACAATATTAGCGGGATAACAAGTACATCTCAGGATTTCAATAGGCCTGATAAAGTATCAATAAGGTCCAACCAACCAAAATTGTATTGTCTTTCTGGTGGCACCATGTATTTTGGATGTGGTACACTCCAAAAGGGCAACGTCCAGCAAATACGACATCCACATCAATCCAACTGGGGTAGATGGATCCAACCACAATTTTAAATAACCTTTTTGGCAGCAGTATAAAATTACATATTTGTGTATTTGTGCTGATATGACCTTGGACTCTATTCAGACACCTACTGGTGTGGATGCAGCAAAAGCTAAAGATTTCAGTTACAGAACATCAAAATGTCCTTTTTTGACCATAATTTGTGTATTCTGTGACCGAAACTGTCCAGAAACACTGGGCTACAGAGGAAGTGAGTAGTATTTGGCTGGTTAATAAAAATTACTGAGTGCACCTCTATAGATAAATTAGTTTAATTATCTAAGACTAGTATCTGGAACTCACAGTTGAGCAGGATTGTAATCCTAAAATAATTTAAATGGACCATTTTCCTTTCCATTCAAAAGTTTGGGCCAATTAGGTTTTTTAAAGAAATGAATGAACAAGGATGCAATAAATTGATCAAAAAGGACAGTAAAGACATTTACAATGTTACAAAATATTTCTATTTCAAATAAATGCTGCTCTTTTGAATGTTCTATTTATCCAGGGATCCTGAAAAAATGTGCCATGGTTTCCAGTATTAAGCAGCACAGCTGTTTTCAACATTAATAATTATAAATGTTTTTTGAGCAGCAAATCAGCATATTCAAATGATTTCTGAAGGATCATGTGACACTGAAGACTGGAGTAATGATGCTGAAAATTCAGATTTGCCATCACAGGAATAAATTACATTTTAAAATATCTTAAAATTAAAAAGTAATTTTAAACTGTATTCATATTTCACAATATTACTGTTACTGTGCTTTTGATTAAAAAAGCCTGAGTGAGCATTAGAAACTTCTTTCAGAAAACATTTAATTTTTTATACAGACCCCAAACTTTTTAAACATTAGTGTACATTTTGTAGCTTCTTTTTTTCTCCTGATCTCTACTTTCTTGTACCAAAAGCAGTTGTCATTCTTTTTTTATTGCTATTATTTTTGACTCCCTTTGTGTCCTAATTAAATGTGCTTTTGTTGCTACTGTGTCTTTAAGATTTCTTTATGTACATGATTGGCTACCCTTTTTGAATGTGAAACAAGCAAAAATGCCCTTACCATGTGACTGAATTTTGAGTAAGCTGTTGATCAAATGTAAACATGACTAGTCATGGTTGTGATATCAGCAGTGTGGCAATTTTGAAATTAGACCGTTTTAGGCTTAGTTTCCATAAATGGCGTGAGTGGACTGAGGAGGGAGCTTGTTTTGATTCTTAGAATATTTACTCTTTTAGTGAAAAAAAGTGAGGTCAACCTGTTTTTCATAACATGTCCCCTTTAAACACTATGCAGTGAATTTTTCGTTTATGTTGAATTGTTTTGGGCAATATTAATAGGAGAAAGAGCTTGAACCAAAGGCCCAGTCCGTAAATGAAGTGGAGACAGACTTGGCAGTGCAGGGGCGTCTCTCTGCAATGCAGCGGGCCGTGGCACAACTGGAGGTGGAACAGAACCTTCTGCAGAAGAAAAACAATCATCTGGAGAAGAAGATTGAGAGACTACGAACTGAGCGACAGCACCTGAGAGAGACGCTGACACAGGTATGTGCACGACTCACAAAGGGACCATATATTATGATGTCAGAATGATTCATACGCATGATTACTGTATATATTTGGCCATCACCAGGTTGAGCTGGAAAGGGGGAAACTGAGGCATCAGCTGTCACAGACAGAAGCTGGAGTTCTGGTATGATGGAGAGAATACATTTGCAATACATTTGTGTTTTGTTCTGGTTGTCTTTCTGTGATGGAGAAGTACCCAATATTTGTTAGTAGAATATATTTTTATTTTTATTACAATATATTTTTGTTAGCTTTAACAACCAGTATTGTTTTAGTATTATTTATATACTTTTATAATATTTATTGATATTTTGATTAGCTTTGAATTTTCATATATTTATATTTTCTTTTTCTTTTTTTTTTGATTTTTGATTTTTGATTTTTATGTAACTTGTGTTATTTTATTAGTTTTTTTTTCTGTTTTCTATGTTAATAGTTCTATGTAGCTTTACTTATATTTCATGTAGTTGCCAGGGTAACATTTATAATGTTACGTTTTCTGTTATCTAATAGTTATCTAATATTTGTTTTATTTTTATTTTAGCTGTATTTCATTTTTATTTTTATTTTTATTAGATTTTTGATTTTTGATTTTTATGTAACTTATATGTTATTTTATTAGTTTTTTTTTTCTGTTTTCTATGTTAATAGTTCTATGTAGCTTTACTTATATTTCATGTAGTTGCCAGGGTAACATTTATAATGTTACGTTTTCTGTTATCTAATAGTTATCTAATATTTGTTTTATTTTTATTTTAGCTGTATTTCATTTACCGAAAACATATATAATAGTTTTAGTTAACAATAATAATGCTGTTAGTAACATGCTAATACCAAACTTTTTTTATTGCAATCAGTTGTTTTATGTGTCTTTTAAGTGTTAATTGCAAGTGAAAAGCAAAAATAGTTCAATATTGTGCTGTGTAGGCCCTGTCAGATGGTACTGAAAAGGAAGAGCTTAAGCGTCTCAGAGTCCGAGCCAATGAGCTGGAAGAACAGGTTCGTTCTAAACACTTAACACAACAGTTCATTTGTATTTTGACACATAACATGGCCTCAAAACTTAAACCCAATTTCTAGGTTCATCATCTTCGTCTCACGTTGGCCGTGGACCATCAGCACAGGGCAGAGTTCATAGACCGCTCTCTAAAGAACAGCCAGAGTCTGATGTCCCTGAGACAAGATCTGAACGAGTCTCTAGCTGCGGTGTCCCAGCGGCCCGTCCCCGCAGTGCTGGAGTCAGAGACACAGAGGCTGGACAGGAGCATCAGAGAGGAAGAGCTCCGATTGTCTCTCAGCCAAAGCTAAAGATATGAAACTCCTTGATGTCTTATGACTATTATATAGTTCATTTAACACTATATTTTTGCACTTAATATTAAGTAATTTCGGGCTGTGAGCCTATGATTTATTTCACACTCAGGGTCTGAAATTGTTTTACTGTTACTTTGCATTAAAAAAAAAAAGCATTTCAATATGTTGTAAATCTTTCTTAAAATGCTAATCCGCTACTAAGGCATCTATTTTAACTATTGGCAAAGGTCAGGTTTACGTCTGTCAGATAATTTTACAGCTGAAAGCTTTGCAGTCATGTTTACAATACTTTTCAAAGCTATTCTGTCAGTGTTATGTGTGCAATATAAGCAATCTGTTTAATGACATGTAATACTGTGGGTTATTTTTTATCTGTGTTTACAATACTTTTCAAAGCTATTCTGTCAGTGTTATGTGTGCAATACATAATGACGGAATGCAATACATAATGCAATACATAATGGGGACCGGAATGACGCTCCACCATCATTCCGGTCCCCAAAAAGCCCAAAATCACTGGACTTAACGACTACAGACCTG